AAAATGACAGTGAGTTCACTTTTTTTTTTTTTAAATGCACTTAGCTCTGTGTCTGGTCAAAGGAGTTTTCTTTGGTTTTGACTTGTCTCCAGGCTCACTAATTAAAGTTTGGTGGCGGTTATGGTGTGCCTAAAAGTCTTAAGTTGAACCTGTACCCTCAGATCTGGCTCAGGGGGAAAAAACAAATCAGAACACCTCCTAGCTGAACACCTATTTTTTAGTACCCAAATGACTTTTTTTTTTTTAAATGCACTTAGCTCTGTGTCTGGTCACAGGAGTTTTCTTTGGTTTTGACTTGTCTCCAGGCTCACTAATTAAAGTTTGGTGGCGGTTATGGTGTGCCTAAAAGTCTTAAGTTGAACCTGTACCCTCAGATCTGGCTCAGGGGGAAAAAACAAATCAGAACACCTCCTAGCTGAACACCTATTTTTTAGTACCCAAATGTATTCACCTCAAAATTTCCACAAAGCACCTATCCTTATGAGACTTTCTTTTTATTTTTTATTGAATTTACTGGGGTGACATTGGTTAATAAAATTGTATAGGTTTTGCCCGGCTGGCGTGGCTCAGTGGTTGAGCGTGGAGCTATGAACCAGGAGGTCATGGTTCGATTCCCAGTCAGGGCACATGCCTGGGTTGCAGGCTTGATCCCCAGTGTGGGGTGTGCAGGAGGCAGCCAATCAATGATTCTCTCTCACTGATATTTCTATCTCTCCTTTTTCCTTCCTCTCTGAAATCAATAAAAAAATAATAATAAAAGCTCTACTTCTTTCAGAGCAAACTTTAAAAAAATTATATAGGTTTCAGGTATAAAATTCTACAACACATCATGTGTATATTATATTGTGTGTTCACCAGAATTCTTTCCCTCTCAGCAGTCAAGTCCTATTTGAAATGGATCATAAGTGCTTCATGCATTTTTTTCAAGTTTTCTTAATTCTTAAAGAGCTTTTACAGGCAAATTATATACCGTCTGAATCACAAAAAAAAAACTTTAAAAGAAGCACCACTCTCTCCCTAATTAGTCCCACTGTGAAGCAGGATTTTAAGGCCAGGACCACCTGGGTTCAGGGCTTTGTTCATGAAAGATAACTTACCTCATTTGTTTATGCAGTGCATATGCTTCAATCAAAGAATGTACCATACTGGCCTAAAAACATCAGCAAAAAGAAAACAGCAGAAAACAGTCCCTTAATGTTTAATTCCGAGAAATTGCGTGGACTTCATGACCCTGAACAAAGGAACGAACTTTTAGCCCCACTCTTTTCGCTTTACTTAACAGTTACAAAGCACTGCAGACAATATAGATACCAATCGCTAAGGAGAAAGCTACGGGGCCTGAGGGAGCTGATGGACCACTTTTGTCCTGCAGCTTCTCCACCACTTCAGGGACCCCTTGCAGTAGAGACACCACCCATCAGTGTCAGACCCTCCTCCGGCCCTCCCACCCCCATATGTGTCCATTGGGCGCTCGACTGATAAACACAGCACCCTCGGAAACTGTAAGGGAACACTTCCTCCATCGCCTCTTACAACTGCCCAAATTACTGCTGAAGATTTTCCCCAGCCCAGTATTTTCTTCGCTTCCTAATACCTCCCGTCCACCCCTCCAACCCCAACCCCACCCCCACCGCAAAAGCCCACGGACTTTCATCCCAAGTTCTCTTACCCTTTTGGGGACTTTGGCCAGGGAGTCGCACATGCTGACATACTCGGGACTGTAGATGTAAACTGGGGGTAGGGAATGCCCACTGTCCGCAGGCTCCTCTGGCTCCTCCATCTTCCACTTCCAGCCGTTATGGGGCCACCATCCGGATCCGGCTTTTTTTGGACTCAGCCCAGGCTCCGGTTCCTGCTCCTCTGATCGGCTGCAGCGGTGCTCCCTAGTTAACATTCCCTCCTATTCTCCAGATCGCCAGTCACTTCCTCGCTCTCCATCCAATTGAAGGAATGCATGGGCCTTCCCAGGCCAGAACCTCTTCATTTAGTGACCACAGTTCAAAAAAGGTTGGCAGGTTGGCAGATATAAAGCCCAGATAACTGTCAATTAGGATCGATGTTTTATGGTACAAATAAGCACGGTCAAAACTAACCATCCTTGTTGCCCTACGGGGCCATTTGAGATGAGGTCAGACGAGCTTCAGAGCATGCTGGGAGATGTAGTTTAGAGGAATTTGAGGAGCGGAAGAACCGGGTTAATTACTAAAATAGCCGCGAATTTGAGTTTTAGCGCAAAAAAAAAAAAAAAAAGCCTCAACTCTTTACGAATTGTTTCGATCTAAAAACACACCCATATAATTAAAGACAGACACAATGTGGCCACCAAGAGTACCGCCCAGCTACCAGAGTGACTTTTTTTTGGTGGAGGACCAATTAATGCTACAAAGGGTTTGAAAAGTTTACACAATAACTTCTGTGCCTCTGTGCCTCATTGCTTTTCATCACCTATCCATGTTTTTAAGAGTTAACAATCTCATATGTATAGATACAAGTGATCAATTTTTAAAAGAGTTAACACTCTCAAATTGACTCTGGCAAAGCTGATGGCACTTTCCCAAGAGGCTGCCTGGTACTCTGGAAATTGCTTGGTAGACTCCAAACAATGATGTCAAATTACTCCTTAAAAACTCGAGTGTACCAAAGGTGTAAGCAGATACTTTCTGTAATGTTTGGAGATTGCTGATTTAACTCCCCTTGCTTTTGCAGCTGTTGAATAGTTAGGGAAACTGTTTAGGTTTCATGTGAGGGTCCACATTAAATAATACTCTGAAGCAGTTTTAGAATTATTACCAGTATTTCCAAGTTCCTAGAGGACCCTATGCACTAATACAAGCTGGTCAATGCTGAAGCCTGAACTGACTTACTAACACGCCTAAGACAACCCAATATCCATACCTTCTTCAAAAATCTACCTTGCTTTTTAATCTCTAAATAGTTATTGAGCATTGCAATATGCACTTGTATATATTATCTCATTTTGTCCTTACAACAGTCCTATGAAGGAGGTTGTAATACGCCCTTTTACTTAGAAAAGCAGGAATTCAAAACCAGGTCTGCCTGACATTGAAGCCTTTACTGTATAAACTTGATTCCTCCAAGGATGACTGTGTTAAATCTGAATTTGTTTATTCGTCCATTTAGTATCCCCACAATACTTCGTATTCTGCAAATGTTTCTTTTTCCTGTGATGTGTTCTTTAACTAGAATGTAAGCCCTCCAGCTTCTTTTATACTTTCCCATAGCAACTAGTTCAAAGCTCTGCACAAATTCAGTCAAATACATTTGCAAAATTCAGTCAAATATATTAAAATATATATATTAGCTGACATCAACTAAGTATGGTACAGCTAAGAATTCAATTTGATCTGTTCTCAGTAAATTTGCATGCTCATAGTGATGAGACAAATACACACAAAAACATATGTAACGCAGAGTCAGATAATGAATATAGGATGCTTAGATTACTTAATAAATAAGCATCAAGTATTTGATAACTGGTACTTAAATGGCAACTGGGATTCTTATTCAGTGTCATTAGAGGGGGGTCTTAGCAGATGGACAAGATTTACTTGAAGATGGGAACCAGGGGAGGGCATGCAGACTAGCATCACCAACATAAGTGAAAATACAACGGAGAATAATAGTGTATCTAGTGTAGTTTAGATGAAAGGTCTGGATAACGAAGGGTTTTGAATGCCAGGCTAAACAGACTTCTCATCCTGTGAAAAATGGGAAGATATTAAAACAGAAATCTTTTAAAAAAAAGATTTCTACAGCCGTAGTGTGTAGGAAAGATGAGCTATTGAAAGACTAGAGGCAGGGAGAGTGTCACAATGGTCCAGACAATAAGTAATGATGATTTAAACTAGGGTAGGGGCAATGGGAGCAGAGAGGGAGAAACAATGCACAGGGTAGGTTCAATAGGTCCTCCTTACTACTTGGATATTGATGAGAGAGAGATGGAAAAGAGTCAGTGAAAACTCTTAAATTTAAAGTCTTGGTGAAGAGTCTAGTAGTATCAATATAACGCAGAAGAGAACACGGAGGGATAACTCATAGGGTAAAGCAGAATGAACATGAGTTAGATTTTAAAAATGTTAAAAGTGTTGAATTTCATAAATCAACAAGTTAAGCAGGTGTTGAACCCCTTTTTCCCTAAATAAGAAAGAGACAGCTAAAGTCATGAGTGGTTGAGATTGTCAAGAGAACTATCTGAGAAGTTAAGAGAACTACACTGGAATGTCAGTTACATCTTACTTAACATTTTCAAACCAAATTCCTGATTTCCCCATCCAAGTCTTTCCCATCCTTTCCCCATCCTTCACAGCTCAGTAACAAGACCAACAGCTATCAAGTTGCCTAAGCCAGAAACCTGGGAGTTATTTGTATTCGCTCTTTGCTTCACTCTCAAGTCTAATCCATCAACAATTTACATTGGTTCCACCTCCAAGACATGTCTTAAATACTGTACATCTGTGGGAAACTGATATAGTGTTAAGCCTCGGACTGACCTGTTGGCAAAGTCACAAACAAGTCCCAGCTTAGAGGGCACAGTCCTCTTAGCATAATTAGGCTTGACCTTATAACACTCCCTAGATCTTATCTGGGAAGCTAATGGGCTGAGGAAGTGCAGGAAGTATAACCATGGTGTAAACAAGTGAAATTCACAAGAACAGTGTAACTTTGGTAACCACTACCTTGTTTACCGCTCACTATAAAAAGCTTGGTGAGGCCTGAGCACAGTGGAAGTCCTTCCCCTTGAGTTGGACTTGCCGCCTGGTCCCCCAATATTCCCAAATTATCTCCTGTCTTTTCTTTTTCATTTGTTGTGCGGCTCCTCTTCCAGACCCGAACCCTGAACCACGCAGGACGACGTGGAGGGAAACACTTATGACATACATCCACTTCCCTTCATCCACACTGCTGCTATCTGAGCCCTGGAACTCTAATCTCTCATCTGGACCTTCAGCAATATCTGACTAGTTTCTATTCCACTCCTGCTGACTTTCAATTCATTCTTTTTAGCAGCCATCAGAGTGAGCTTAAAAAACAAACAAACAAAAAACTCAATCAGGTGTCACTTTTTAAAACCTGCCCCACACCATGGTGAGAAACTTTGAGCTAGGAAGATAATGTAATTTTTGAGAATGACTGTTTGCGGGGGTTAGGAGGAGGAAAGATGCCAGAAAGGAGACAAAAAAGGAATAGTTAGGTGATAACTAGCATAGTAAAGTTTCATATAAATCAAGGGATGACAGGGTTATAAGGAAAAGGTAATAACAATGTCATATATTGAAAAAGAGTCAAAGAATCCTTTTGTCATTGGGAGCTCACTGGTGCTCTATGGAACAAAAAAAGAGAGAGAGAGAGAGAGGTAGAGAGAAAGCCAGATTGCAGAGGGTTCAAGAGTGAGGACAACATTGTCAAGTGTAGTTGCCTTTGAAGAAATTGTGGAAAAAAAGTAGTATATCAGCCTGGGGGGATGTCAGAGCCCAGGAATGTTTTTTTTAGGACAAGGGAGAAATGCATCTGTTTATAGACAGAGGGGAACAAGCCCCTTGGGCTTTAAGAATTGACTGATGGGAGTTCCAACTTCTAGGAATATATCCTAAGAAATCAGAAACACTGATCAGAAACCATATATGCACCCCTCTATTGATAGCAGCACAATTTACAATAGCTAAGATTTGGAATTAGCCTATGTGCCCATCAGCAGATGAGTGGATTAAAAAACTGGTACATCTGCTCAATGGGTTACTATGCTGCTGTAAAAAAGAAGGAACTCTTACCATTCGCAGCAGCATGGTTGGAACTGGAGAACATTATGCTAAGCGAAATAAGCCAGTCAGAGAAAATAATTATCACATGATCTCACTCATTTGTGGAATATAATGAACAACATTAAACTGATGAACAAAAATAGAGCCAGAGTCATAGAAGCATCGGACAGACTGTCCAACCTAAGAGGGAAGGCAGGGGAAGGGGAGGTAAGAGATCAGCCAAAGGACTTGTATGCATGCATATGAGCATAACCAATGGACACAGGCTAGTCGGGTGAGCATATGTACTGGGTGCTGGGAGTGGCTGGGGAGAGGGCAATGGAGGAAAAATGAGATTTATGTAATTCTTTAAACAATAAATAATTGAAAGATGAGATCATGACAGGTGGGCGCTATAAGGAGGAAATGGGACTTGTCCTCAACCTTACTAGATAGGCAGTGGAAGGGAGAGGGTAAGGTTGACCAACTGACACCCAAAAATCTAGTCTAATCAGATGACATGAAAAAATATTGTTTTATGTGTTCTTTCAGATGTAACTGAACACTTCAATGTGGGAACTTTGCTTTTAAACTGGAAACAGTATCCTCAGTTGGCAAGAGGATTCAACTATGGTGAAAGATAAACTGTTGCAGGAGGCTTTGTAATTGGCAGCATATTCCTGCAGCAAATCTCACAGGGAGGCTGGAGCCTTGTTTCTGACTAAGACAGAACACAAACCTTGCCATAAGTCCCTAACCTCAGTTTTCCACACGCTTGATAACCATACGGTCCTTACGTTGGGAAGAAAACCTTTTCCAAAACAATGGATTTGCAGCCAGAGTACTTGAGTTCAGAAGAAGTAGCTTGAATCGTGGCTCCAAAGTTTTCCTGTGTGTGGTGCCACTGAGCAAGTTGCTTGACTGACTTACCTTGGGCATTATTACTAAAGGTAGTTTTTGAACTAGCAGGTCGGGTTAGGCTGTGTCACTTTCATTGATTTCTCCTGCCTTGCTGGCAGAAGCAGGAAAGCAAATATATTATAAAGGTACCTACTCCTTTGGCCATCTTCTTTTGTGCATTTCACAGTCTGCCTATTGATACGTCAACTGTACTTAACAGACGGGCCCTCATTTTCACACCATTTTCTAATGTCTTTTCTTTGGGGAATGTCTCAACAAATCTGAACTCTAGAATCACACTGCTTGGGCTCAAATCCCAGCTCTACCACGTACTAGTTGTTTGATCTGGAACAATTTGCTTAAAAGCTAAGTGCTTCAGTCCTTGCCAAATGCCCATATAACAATGTTTGGCATTATGCCAAATATTCCTTAATTTTTGGGAAAGTATCCCCCCAT